CTCCTGACAGTAAGATGTGTTGACAGTAAAATATGCTGTCTCCGAGTATTGTGAAATCCTCTTCTGCAAGCCATAGACTGCAAGCCTATGGAAGAAGGTGGTGAAGGACACATCTGAAGGATACATTTAGCCTTTACAGAGTGCCAGAAATAATGCAGCTTGAGTCCACTTTAACTGCCCTGGCTTAGTGCTAGGGAATCATGGGAACTGTAGGTTTTTTTCTGAGACATTGAACCTTCTCTGTCAGAGAGCTCTGGTGCCACAATAAACTACAGTTCCCATGATTCCCTAGCACTGAGCCAGGGCAGTTAAAGTGGACTCAAGCTGCATTATTTCTGGCAGTCTGCAAAGGCCCATAAATGACAAGATCCCTCTACATATCCCAGAATAATGTAGTTTAGTCTCATTTATGTTGAGTCTTATAAATAGGTTCTTGTGTACCACTTGTTTTAAATAAATAAAATTACTTCCCTAGACAATGCAAATTCAGCCACAAGAAAAGCCAAATTCTGCAATCTACATCTATTATGCAAACCTGCATAATTTCTTATGCCTTTGGAAACCTTAGGAAGAAGCTATATAGTTCTTTGGGAGGCTTAATGGAAGTTACTTTTTATAAAAGTAATCACAGGGTTACTGTCCTCTTTGGACTGCAGTGGGTGTGTGGGGAAGAGTGCCTTAACCCTTCTACCCAGATCACCACCCAGATCTGTATTAGTTCTCTGAAATTATAACCACCCAGCTCGGCCATCATCCTACTAGTCTAAATAAGAATCTGAATTCACTGCATCACTCTACTCAGCTTTTTCCCCCTGTGTTCCTACAGAATTATAGCATAGACACACTCATGCTATTCATAGCTCAATGGTGGAACACGTGCACACACTCAAGAGCTGCCTCTCTCAAGTGTACTAAAACTGACACCAGATATTTAAAAAGTCCAAAGTTTGGTTGCTTATCATGTGAATCCACCTTGATGAGAGACTGCACAGAAGTATTATGTGAACACACTTTGGCAGATACTCTTTGAGCATCAAGGCTGGCATGAAATTATTTCAGTGTACCTGTTAAAATATGGATTATTAGAAAGGGACCTACTTTAAGTCCCCCTTGACATAAAAAGTGGGGTTGGAAGCAAATGAAGAAGCTGCCTTTCCTATGCCATGTCAGTCTAGGCCAGTGTTATCTCCTGTGAGTAGCAACAGGTCTCCAAGGTTGCTTTTCCAGCAATGTAACCAACGATCTTTCATTCAATAATTCCAGAGATTTAGGTTGGGGTCTTCTCCATGCTCTCTCATAATCATGTGCTCTCTCTCTGAGGCATGGGACACTAATATCATTCTTTATTATCTGTTTTCTTCCTATGTTGGCACAGTGACTCCCAGGATAATGTACTGGTTAGAGTATTGGAATGAAACCATCTGGTATGATGATTTGAGTGCTGGACTAAGGCTTTGAGAAGCCAGGGTTCAAATCCTCTCTCTGTCATGGAAACGCATCATATGGCCTTGGCCAAGTCATACTCTCTAAGTATGAGCGAGCAGCAATGGCATACTTCTTCTGAATACATCTTGCCAAGAAACTCCAGGACAGACTTGCAGTTAGTTGAGAGTTGAAGACACAGCAGCAACAACAACAACAACAACAATGCTGGATTTTGGCCGAGGTTCACACTCTTGTTTAGCCACAAAATTTACTGGATGAGTATGAGCCATTCACCATCTCTCAGCCAACATTATCGTACAGGGCTGATGTGTGGATAAAGCTGGGTTTTATGTATAAACTGACTCTGTGGGAGCATGAGAAAAGACCCATGATAAAGAAGAGAACCATATATGCCACTTAGAGCAACTTGAAGGATAAGGATGAAATAAATACAAATATATTAAACTCCAACAGATATGTCTAAAGTGCACTGTAGACTTCCAGAGCTGAGTGGAAATATTGGCAGCACCCACTTTTAAGAGTCTAAGAGCACCAATATCTCCCCAGTTCTTGTATCCCCTGAAATTTAGAGGGCAATGGGATAAATCAAAAGGACATTAATAAAATGTCTCCTGCTTCCATACTCAGCGGTAGGAGACACTGAGGGAGAAAGACAGTCACCAAATCACTACCTTCTTGAGAGTCCCCAAACCTGACACTTCCCTTTTAAGAGGAATTGAAGGTCAGTGGTGTGATCATCACACCAAGGAGGTGACTTCATCCTTTGCCCCCAAAGCCTGCCTGTCTCCCCCAGGGAAGGTGAGGATGCAGGGATGATTGTGGTCCTTAGGCTTCCGGGTGTGATTCATCACTATGTGCGTTTGGGAAGGGCAAAGGAGTCTTTGTTCGTATGCCCAGGTTTTCGTCTCCTCCTCTTTACCACAACCACTCCAGTAGTACTCCTCTCATGCCCTCGGGATGTGCAACCTGAGCTCGCAAAGCACTGAGCTCTCAGATGTTGGGACTTTCCTGGTGAAATCATGTCCTGGTTACTACCAGGAGGCTGTCTTCCTCCCCTGAATCACCAGAGCAGCAAGCAACCAGACCCCCCACAGGAGAAACACCTTGTAAACTGAAGAACTTTCTTCCTCCTTGGAAAAAGATGAAGCTCCCAAGCTAGTCCCATCAATGTTATTTAATGCCATCATCTCTGATGGTGAGGAATGTTGGGATTTGTAGTTCAGACACACCTGAGGGCTGTAGGTCTCTTGCTACTGGCATTGCAAAAACAAAAAGAGGAGGGCAATATGGGGGGGTGGGTGTTCTTTTGCTTTTAACAGCATCTCAAAACATAGAGGCCCAGGCAGCAAATTGAGGTCTGAGCAACAGCAATTGTTGTTGGTAAAGGGGGTCAAGGCTCCTGAATCTTTAATAGCTAGATAGGAGAGAGAAATGTTTAGCACAGGAGTGGGGAAGCTTGGGGCCTCCTGATTTGGACCACAATTTCCATATTCTTTTATTGTTGGGAATGCTGTATGGGGAGTTTAAGAACAAACATATCTCAAGGACAACATGCTCCTTACCCCATTCCATCCCATTCACACAACTGTGTAAATACACTTTATACCTAAGCATTTATTACTCTACACTGTATCCAAAGAAGTTGGTATATATCCACAAAAGCTCATACAAAAATAAAAACCAGTTAGTCTTAAAGGTACTGCCACATGTCTTTTTATTTCTCTTCCCCCTTCCCCCTCTTTTTTATGGTACAAGAGACTAACATGGCTATTTCTTTGAAAAACATTCTTTATCCCTTTTTTAGCAGGTAAAATTACTTCCTTCACCTCTGCAACAGAAATCATAACAGCCTCTTAAAACTGCAAACCACATCTTTCTATGCTCATGGCCACCCTCATACGCATGAATAGCAAGGCATATGTTTGTTCACTGATTTTGCAGCAGGCAAGACATGAGACTCCTGTATCTTTCACAGTAATACAACAAAACAAAAATTCAAACGATTAAGCTTTTCCTGACATACAGATGTAGTGAAGGCGGAAGATTCAGTTGGTGAACTTTCTTCTGCCATGCAGTTGATAAAAACATAAGAGCACTGCTTGAAAAAAGATGGCACCCCTAGTTTCCAATTTGTTTATAATGCCAGGAGGTAATCTACTAAGTGCTAGAAAGTTGGATCCATAGTATGAGGTTGTTTGGAAGGATTAGATCTGCTTTCCACTGTTTTTAGGGAGCTTTTAAAAATGTCCCAAAATTATTCTGTGGAAACAAAGGGCCTTTACAGACTGCCAGAAATAATGCAACCTAAGTCCACTTTAGCTGCCCTGGCTCAGTGCTAGGGAATCATGGGAATTGTAGTTTATTGTGGCACCAGAGCTCTCTGACAGAGAAGGCTCAATGTTTCAGAAAAAAACTACAGTTACCATGATTCTCTAGCACTGAGCCAGGACAGTTAAAGTAGACTCAGGTTGCATTATTTCTGGCAGTCTGTAAAGGCCCTAAATTAATCTCCATTGTAGGGTTGCCAGACTGAAAATTGAAGAGAGCTCCTGTTCACTTGATGGTTATGTAGAAGATGAAGTTTTGCAACGTATTGATCATCACACAACTGGGTTAACAACCCAGCCTGAAATTCCCTTTTCTACACAGCTATTAAAGGTAGAGAAGCCCTCTCCAGTTTTCACTTATGGCGACCCTAAGGAGGTCCTATCATGGGATTTTCTTGGCAAGAGATGTTCAGAGGGGGTTGACAATGATCATCCTGAGGCTGAGAGAGTGTGACTTGCCCAAGGTCACTCAGTGGGT